TCCTGGAATGAGTGACTGACTGATGGAGATTGTTCAAACACCACAGTGCAACACAGAGTAACGTTTTTGGAAGACACGGTTACTTTTGTTATGTACTGTCAACATGATGAAGAACTGCAACTCAAGATCAATGGGCTCCATGAGCTGGCCCAAACCTCTAAGTGAAGGCTGTGAGAGTGGAAGCTGGGCCTCCATGAGTTCACAGTCAGAGCCATTTATCTAGTGAGACCGAAGCCCAAACTTCTTCGCATCCCTGGTGGCCAATATCTCTGTACCCTAGAGTGACGTCAGATGAATGTTTTAGTGCCCATTTGCAAAGTGGTTCAGTGACTGTGGCAATAAATATATGTTCAAGCAGGACTTTAAACACTTTAAATGCCAAGAATTGTTTTATTTTTTTGGTCAAGCAACTAATTATCCCTTCAGTTTTACTTCACTGCTAACCATACACCAACACCCATGTGTTCTCCTTATCCCCTGACAGTAGCAACCACCTCCTGTGAGTGTACATTTTCAAAGATGAGGCCAGAGGATCCCAAAGTTCATCAGAAACTTCATCAGAAAAAAGAACTGCAAACCTTAAGGGGTCACCTTTGCAAGCTGCGAGTCTGCTGCCATCATGTCTGCTCGCTGTTTAAATGGGCAGAGACTGCACTTTCTATTTGAAGTGGCCCTACTCTGATGTTTTGAGCTTTGGAAGTCAGGGACTAAGCCTAAAAAGAAACGGATGAGAGGACTCGACTCACTCAAAGTAGCAGAAGGTTGGGTAGCCTTTGACGCCGTACTCCTGCTTGAGGCCGTCGAATTCAGCTGGGTGCACATTCATTCCTGCTAGGACCTTAAGAAAAATGATATGAAAGGGAAAATGAGACACAGGCCATCAAAGATGTGAAGAAAAATGACGGCGGAGAGAGAGAAAAGAAATAGCAGGAACATCAAACATCGAGACAGGTCAGTCGTCATCGGCGGGCTCCAAACTGAACAAAGATGGATTACTCCAAGTGTGAACTGTGAAACAACACAGGTGCAATGACTGTTAATTAGCAGGCTGTAATCAAACACCCACCGCTATAAACTTCTTGCTGACTTTTTAATTGAAAAGACAGAATATGATTTGTCTGAGCTATATTAAAAAAGGAATCACAATTTATTTCAGACACCCACATAAAGATAATGTGTGTAGGATCCCGCTCGGTGTACTTGATAAATGTGAACTGTTAAGCATGGTATGTCTAGCATAGCAGAAAATTACTTTAACTGTTAGAAGTATAATACTGTGTGAAAGTCTTGAGTAGGGATGGGTACCGGTATCC